GTAACAAGGGTTATAAGAAGTTACGAAATTAATGCTTGCCTTAAAAAATCAATTATCTATGATCTATTATGTTCAAATTTTAAGACTCACAAAGAATATGCGAGTAGTTTTAGAAACTGAGGCAACGCAGCCACATTTTCAGAGACTCTGTTGAATATTGGAAACAGTACACATCAGAAGAATAGTTCTATATAATAGCAATCCATAATACCTAAAAGATCGCCACTTCTGTTTCAGGAGCAGATGAATTAATTTCAAAAGTCTACCTAGGAATATAAGACATTTCAAAGAAAACTAGCCAATGGCTGGAAGAACATGTGATTCTAGCTCCCAAAATTGACATGGTTTGTAAAATCAACGAACAAATTCTCGACATGTTAACAGTAAACAGACTATATATAATTGTAGAGACTTTCGGATTCTCAAGGTATGAGCTGTAACTGAGAATCGTAACCTACCTGTAACGATGGAATGTTTCAACTTCTTTTCGACGTGGTCTCCGTCGTCGGCCGAAGTGTTTTTGCGTTTGCGGTCCATGTCCCTGGAAACTTTTTATAGTTCACGAGAGTGATAATCAACAATTAAATTATTATATTAAATTGTTGTATAAAATTGTTATAAACATTTATTAAATTAAACTAAATACACACGATTCATATTTAAACAGACAATATTGTTATTAACAATAATAAGAACTGTTAGCGCCATGGTAACACGACTAGCAAAATTTTAATTTTCAGCCACGAAATAAACAACTAGTGGTATGATTGTATTAATATTATTATATTATTTTTACACGTATTTTACCTTAGGAAAACCGGAAGACGAATATATCGTTACGACGTTACCCATTTTAACTATATATACGAAAATCTTATAAGGATTTGATAGATAGATATAGCAATATCGCATTATACCTATATATTTCCGAGCATAATAATATAACGTGTATATTTGTTATGTAAATTAAATAATGAAACTTTTTAATAGATATTTTTGCATAAGTATTTCGACATTTTAATTGGTGCATATTTTTCCGTCTTATTACAACTTAAAATGTAATATAAAACAAAAAATCGTTCAATAGATTTCAATAGAAAACAAAATTAGTCTACGATTTTAAATTTGAATAATAATATGCGTGAAGCTAAAGAGTATAGCCGTGTAGGTAATTATTATTACGATAAAAATATTTAGTAGACAATAGACATTATAACAATATTAATAAAATTATTATCGTGATACGTTGATGGTTGATTATCAATTATATAATTTATCATTAATATAATTTCTATAGGAACTTTCTTCAAACCACATTAGTTGTGAAGGTAAACACTTAAACTGTAGGTATGTATGTGTAGCATTTACCATGCTCTTAATGTTCAACACATATCTTTTTGACCTCTCCCATATTGATCTACCACGCGTCCATCAGACCAAGGTTTTGTAAATGCAGCCGGCACAGGCAATCTTTACTATACATCGAACACAGGTGAGTGAATGCTCAGCTTCGGCGTCGACCGGAAACTCACTGCGAGTTAGCGTCTAAAGGCCCCCCCTCCCCCAAAAAACAGCTAAATACGCCACTGATTGGGACTTAAAATTTACTTTTGACTTCAAATAAAAAGTTAATGCCACGGACATTAATTGTGACTGGTGTACATTTTTTTTCCAAATATCCGACGTTATAACGATTAATTTAGGCGTAGCTTAGGTACCGTGTACGCCATTTAAAATACTTACGCACATTTTTTTTCAGTACGTTTAATGTTGTACACCTAAAAAAAATGGCCATGGAGTATTTAACTGCCTACCCTTAGTCCCTAATCACCAAGTGTGCACACTTATGAATAATATACGTCTTATATATTCGTATACCTATATAAATAGTGTACATACTTCAATACTTGCATGTGTACCTTAAATGTTACTTTTTTTGTTAAATTACGTATTAACTTTTCTCTTATAATTTATTATATTTTTTTATATGCTGTTTTTATTTTATGTCCTCTGAATACTTCAACAATCGTTATTTATCGACTATCAGTTATCATGATATTGTATGATTAAAAATTGAAATGAAAAAAAATAAAAAATAATTTTGAGTATCATAAGTTCATTAAAAAATTTTAACTTGTAAATTGTAATCAATAGTTGTAGCCTTGTAGGTGGTATCTGGAAATTTATAGGTACTTATCTTAATATATATAAATCTCGTGTCACAATGTTTGTCCTCAATGGACTCCTAAACCACTTAACCGATTTTGATGAAATTTTTTACACCGCGTGTAATTTGGTCCAACTTAAAAGATAGGCTAATTTAAAAAGGGAGAGGACCAACCCCGGGAGGTGCTCAAACGGGAATTTTGAGATTTCCGATGGAAATTTTTGTTTATAAATGGTTACCATGGGTTTTTAAGCTATTGCAATAATAAAAATAATAAAAAAAAAACTATTTGCTTACTTTTTAATATAATTGTAATATAATATCTAACTATAAAAATGTGAAATGAAAATCTCTGTACTACTTATCTCTGGAGCTTCTTATCAGATCTTCTTTATTTTTTTTTAAATGAAAGAGTATTTCATGGATAAGGTTTATATGAAAAAAAAATGTTAGGAAAATCCACCAGTGTATTATATTATATCGGTTGCTATTGGTTAATCGGGCATGTTTTTGATTTGTATCATTATTTTTTGTCAATAGGTATACATATATCATATATCTAATACTATAATATATAATAAATACAAAAAGATCTGATAAGTAGTTCCAGAGTCTGTATAGTTATAGACTATAGTCCGTGTATTTATATAGTTATATATATATATATAAAATGTTTGTGGGTATAGATTAGACGTCTGGGACGAAGATAGGTTAATTTACTAAGGGTTAAATTTGTTTTTTTTTTCATCGGATTTTAGTACGGTTAGGTTAGGATAGGATTTTGTATAAAATGATTATAATAATCCATCTTAGGCGAAATTAAGTAAAAACGATAAACTTGATATAACTTTGATACTTTAGAGTTAAATCATACACTTACATACAAACAGCACAGGGTCCGCGATCTATCGCAGGTAGATTACTGTTGCGAATCAGAATTTGTATTCGGGGCAACGGAAAAGTTAAGATTAATTTTGAACACCGCATACACCGAATATTAAATAACGAATTGAACAAACTTTGAGACATATAGAATTGATACATTTAACGGGGCAACGAAGTGCACGGGATCAGCTAGTAAGTATATAAATCAACTAAATAATTACCTCATTGTACAAAGATGCCAAAAATATGTAAATAAAAATAATAATACCTAATAATGTTAATGATTTATTAGTTAAAAGTTATAACATTAACTCAAAAGTTTATTTCTAGATTTATTTTTATCCTTTAAGTCTTGAATATTTAGACTTGTTTATTTTATGAATTCCTATACTTATTAACATTTTAAATTTACAACTTTTTTAGTTTTTTTTTCTATAAATGTCAATAACAATTTTATTAGTTCTGTCAAAAAGAAATAAAATTAAATACAAGGTTTCTGATATATTGTTACAATAGCAATTTAAAAGTATTAAAAATACATATAGGCATACACATTTTTTTATATGGATTTAATGTTTGAATTTTGAAGTAATTTATCAAAATGAAAATTTACAAATTATTCGGTAGTTAAAAAATTATAAAATACTAGCTGATCCCGTGCACTTCGTTTCCCATTAAATGTACCAACTCTATATGACTCAAACATTGTTCAATGCGTTATTTAATATTCGGTGTATGATGTTCTAGATTTATCTTAACTTTTCTGTTGCCCGGAATAAAAATTCTGAATTGCAGCAGTACATTATCAGATAGGTAATTTACCTGCGGTAGATCGCGGACCCCGTGCTGTTTGTACGTAAATATATGATTTAACTCAAAAAGTACCAAAGTTATACCAAGTTTGACGTTTTTACTTAATTCCACCTACCTATATAAATCCTAACCTAACATAACCGTACTAAAATCCGATGAATAAAAAAAACCAAATTTAACCCTTTTTAAATTAGCGTATCTTCTTCCCATAGGTCTAATCTACACACCGTCATTCATTTATATATAAGATATATTTACAAAAAATAATAATACAAATCAACAAACATGCCCGATTAACCAATAGCAACCAATATAATATAATACACATACACCATAGAGTAAATAACAACGGTATCGAGTTCAAATCCCAGACATCAATAAATAGTTTTTGCAGTTTTTCTAATTATTCGGTTGACTTTTTAAAAATTTTCTTTCGTAAAAACCTTCACCTGGCAATTACGAACATCTTAAAAAAAATTTGAGCAAAATCGGCCCAGCCGTTCTCAACTGATGCAATTTCGAATTTTTTGTCTCCATTTTTATATATATAGATTTATATATTTTGTAAAATTTTATAGCTAAGGATTGAAAAAGTTAAAACTGGGTTCCACGTAAATAGGTTATAATATTTAAATTACTTTATTCACAATGATATCATCAATCTTTGTGCTTGTCCTTGAGTGTCCTCGCTGTGTACCTACTTATCAGAGATCTAGAACTGAAAAACTTGTCGATTTTACCTAATACCTAGTATCTGTCTATCTATAAAAATTACAAATATGTGTAACCGATCTACAACTACAGATGAAAAATAAGTTTTTATTTTTTTATTAATACCATATTTAGTGTAGGTATATCTGTCTAGTGTCTATACTCTTAAAGACATTTTTAAATCTCTTTAGTTAGTACCTAGTTCAACATTACAGGATAAAAAAAAATTAATAAATAAACACCAGGTATTGTAAAACCACTAGATCCCTCGCTCCGCTCAGAATCTAAAATACGTACGTGTGTATATATTTTGTTTGAAATTATAATGAAAAAAATATTAATTATTGAATAATTAAATATAATATTAATGAAACTGTTGCAGTATGTTTATTGTTTTATATACAAATTACTTTTTAATGGTCTTTTAACTTTCAATAGACTTAAGAGTTAATAACAAACGAGTCAACACAACATCCAAGTATGGGAAATCGTTTTTTAAAGCTTCCACAACACTTATTAAGTTAGAATTCTTCGATCCCTGAGTTGTAATTGCTTCTTTAATTTTTGATTCACTTTTTATCAGCAAACGGTATTTTTCTTCTTTTACATCTTCCAAGAATTTGATATGATTTTGCTTGAAGTTTAACTTATAAAAGTCCTAGAAAAAAAGTAAATAGAAGACTGTTATTACTTATTGAACCATCAAAAAAAATTTTTAATCCACATCATAAACTAGGTATTAAATGAAAATAAAATATTTTCCATTATAAACAATAAATTACTATGACCCCCCCCCCCCCAAAAAAAAAAAAACCTACGATATACAATTTTAATATGCTATATTGCAATGGTCTGCTTGTCTTTAATATATTCAGCCCCCCTAAGTAAAAAGTTTAAATTGCGCCTATGCATCAATTACAGGGACCTCTACTTGTAATCTACTGTCCATCAGAGCGAGATACACTTACCTACCCGCTTTTTATAACTTTATATCAAAAAAAAAAATTGACAATTTCATCTACAATTAACTTGACAATTAATGTTACATTACGATGAATCATCAAAAATTAAGACCTGACAATCTAACATTCCCTCGTTGATTCCTAAAAAAACGTTTTTAATCGACCTAGTTTTGAAAGATTAATGTAAACAGTGAAAATACAGTGAATTGAAATAAATTTTTAAAAAAATATAACGAACAATCATTGTAATGTATGTAAACATAACTCTTAAGCATTGATGATTATCACTTATTAGTGATTTGCAACTATACAATTTAAATTCCATTTTTCATAATTCATATTATAGACGATCAAAAAACAAAAACTTAGGTATGACATCAAAAGTACATACGTGCCACGGGGTAGAATGTTTGAATTGAACCTGTAATTTCATTATAAGCCCTGATCCAGAGAGCCTCTCCCCACTATATATGCCACTGCGTTGGATGGTCTAATTGTAATGGTTAAGTATAGTGGTATGGGGACAGTTTTGGCTTGTATCCCTGCAATATATATTATACTTAGTGATGGCCACCTCCATTTTTTCTTTAAGCTTTAATAATACATTTATTCAAATAATGATGGTTAGAACTTTCAAGTAAGGTATACCTAAAGACAATTTTTTTAAATTCCTGATTTTTAATTTCCTTAAGTCTTAAGGAGTGTTCTGTGGTAGTACAACTTCTATTTTTTAAATGAGAACCTCCCTTTTTTACTGCAAATTATTTAGAGGGGTGATTTTCTTGAAAATGGTTTTGTACCTAAATCAAAATTCTATTAAATAGTTTCTGAGTTATTAAAATATTTATACTAAGGATAATAATCCTTAAATATGGTTTACAAAAATATAAACTTTATGTAATTTTAGATGTAGTAGGTATTCATTATACTTTAAGTTATATAACTCAAAACCTAATTTTGCTTTAGATACATCAAAATTCTCAAAAAAATATCTGCTGAATAATTAAAAGTGAAAAAGAGGAGTTAATATTTAAAAAACAGAAGTTTGTATTGTCACAGGATCATCCTTAAGTGGTAAAAATTTTCTCAAATATTAAAAATATGGTTTTAAAGTGTATTTAAAAATTAAAAAATCATATTTTGAATATATGTACAATTTAAAGATAAAAATAGGGTGAGCATGCTTATAAATAAACCTGTATAATATATACTATACTCCTAAATGGCTAAATTTAAAGTAGGTCTTATTTACAGGGTGAAACCATAAAATTACTACAGATATTCAGTATCGCAAATATGTATAGGAGGGGGGGGGGGTTACTAAGTTACTCTGATTAAAAATGTACTAAGCATAAGAAATTTTTAGAAAATATTATGGGGACTCAATGACTAATCTTAGAATTACTAAAAATAGCAATTTTGTTAGCAATATACAAACTTTAAGTTTTAAAGCATTCGTGTCTTCAATATTTTTTGTTAAATCGTTAATATTTTGTTCAACGTTGATACATTTATCTCTTAAATTTGTAAGCTTACACTCCATTTCTATTTTATAATTTTGGGCATGACTTATGTCTTTGTTTATTTTTTTACATTTCTGTAACGTACATTTTAAAAATATGAATTAATATTATTATTTATTGATACATGTTTTTGTAAAGCAATATGCATTTATTATGTGTTTAATAGATCAAATGTAGATGATCATATATTTAAATCGTATAACTGTTATGGAAACATAACTATAGTCTAAATAATAGGTACCTCGTAGTTCGTACCTATACCTAACCTTATATTATTAGCACATTAATAAGCATTATTTATAATTCTTTTTTATCTGTGCACATTTTAATTCCAATCAATTTCTGTAATTACTTTATAAGTATAAACTGTATATGTATATCCTTACATTATTTATCTAATTGCCCGATTTGGGGTGGGTTAGTTAAAATAAAATAAAAAAAATTAAGATCAATGATTAAAACAAACAAAATCAGTATTTTTCCCAAAATATAATACTTATAACTTTTATTAGATTCTGAGTTAAATATTGATTTTACTAGGCTTGCTTCATTATTAATGTGTAAAGGTACTTTTATAGTAGAAAAATGATTCGAATTTGAACATCAATATCTTTTATTGTAAGAAATTGAATACAGTTTTTACTTTTGGGAGATCAAAATTAAAAATCCCCAGTATCTACTTTGCAAAATAACAGGAAAAAAAACTAAAGATAGAATTTTTACGCATAATCAGTTTTCAACAAAATCGTTTCTGTTTTGACTTAAGAATAAATTACTGAAGGAACTTCACATTTTTACCGAATACTTAAATCAACATTTACTAGACATAAATATTTGGCTGTGTTTTCGGCCTTTTTTTCGATTTATTTATGATATATATTTTATTTTTGGGTAAGAAAGCTTGAAAGTGTAATGCAAGGTTTCTCCATAAGTTTTTCATGATAACTAATCAAATAACATCAAAAATAAAATGCGACAATAATTTCTTATAATAAGCGTTTAAAAGTTCTAATTCGAAAAAAATTATTTAGTTTCCAAAATTATTTAGTTTCAAAAATTATTTTTAATATACAATTCATAATGTTTTTAATCTTCATACCTTATGTTTTCTTACAATAATTCATAGAAAAAATGTGCACAATTCCACAAATAATTTTTTTTTAAGTTACTTTTTTGTAACTCAAAAATATTAGTGAGGACATGAAAATATGAAATTGTTGCGTATATCATTAAAATTGTATTATACAGTTATCAAGTTACAGTTATAGCAGTGAAATTTAAAAAAAATTTTAGAATTAATTTCAAATTATTGCCTAATGCCTATATATAGTTTATACCGTATTAATGTATACAAAGTACAAATATTGAAATATTCTATAGACAGTATACAACACGGACTAAGATATACAGGACTGGACACGAGATGAATATTGTGGTTACGAAATGTTTTACAACAGGCGGAGTTCGGGGGGATATTTTCCTTTTAGCATTACTAGCGCCGTCTTAGTGGATACTTATGGAACTAGAAATTTGTATGATGTGTTCTAGTTCCATAAGTATCCACTAGGACGGCGCTAGTAATGCTAAAAGGAAAATATCCCCCCGAACACTGCCTGTTGTAAAACATTTCGTAGTCAACCCCCCCACACCCTCCAACCTTGTCGTGTCCAGTCCTGTATATCTTAGTCCGTGGTATACAATGATTTATCAATGAATTCAGATTTATCACGACCATTGTCTTAACCTACTCAATGACGAGGTAACTCGATTTCTACAGGTGTACAACATTATGGTTACCAACTTTTTTCTATTAACAATTTTTGTTAGTATCAAAATGGGAACTGCCAGTAAATTAATTTAAGTTTATTAAATTCTTATGTCCGAACTGTTTAATTTGAGGTCAACGGACACACCATAAATATTTTATAGATATTTAAATTAAATAATTATCAATAATTTATCATAAATAATAATAAGTAGAGTCACAGTTTTAATTTGTCTTATCATTATTCGCATGTCATCGAGGATCTTCAACAATTTTTGTTTAGTACCATTTTTGTCGCTTGAATTCTTTGATGCAAATGAATTGTAAATCGTTTCCCGTTTCAATATGCATTTTTCTAAATCCGACATTATTTTGTCTAATATTTTTTTCAATCTATTTTCCGTTATCTACAAACAGAATAATACAAATTTGATCGGTAATCACTCTAATGTCTATAATACACAAGTTAAAAGAATAAAAACTAAACAATAAACTTAAATATAGTAGGTATATCTTAATTTAAACAAAATGTTAGGTACTATGCTACTATATTGTACTAATGTAGGTAGTACCATATGAAATTATTGTTATAAATTATAATTCATAATACTATGATAGTATAGATAACTGACAACTGTTACATAGGTACCTGCATTTTATGTATTTCTTTTTGTATAACACCAATGTCACCAAAAATACCTTGTTTATTCTTAAGTTCTGTTTTCATTTCGACAAGTGACTGGACTTTAGCGTCCCACGATTTACTTTCACGTTGTTTCTCAATGTATGTTTTTTTAATTTCGTTCAATTCATTTTTTAACAATTTTAGAAGGTCTATATATTCCAAACACTGTTTTTCATTTTCCTATAAAATATTTATAGTTGTTTTTGTACTTAATTATTGTAACAAGTCTAACAAGATGTGTGTGTTTATTGTTTACAATAAAACGTATTATTAAACTAACTACAAGAGTATACATATGTAATATATTATTTCAAATAATAACTATATAATATGTAACTAAATTGAAGTTTTTCGAACGATATTTATACGTGAATATAAATTTAAATAGTAAATACGTATCATATCAAATACATTTAATTCAACCAAAGCAGAGCTTTGTATCCATTCATTTTCATTCAAAAGTTTACTACTTTTCCCTTTATGTTTTCCAAAAACTTCATTATACTTCACAGCTTCATTTCTCATGTTCGTAAGTTTTCGTTTATACTGATCGACTTCTTTGGATAAAGAAACGATTTCGAGATCGAGTTTTCTACTTTTTTTAAGATTTTGTGTATCACCTAAAATATATAATGAATTAATTTTAAAAATTACCCATACACATATACAATGATTTATGTACCTACCTATTTGTGTGATATACTGATGATATTATACAAGGTGATTTTTTTATCATTGAACACTCATTATTTCAAAAAGTATTAATATTTAAGAAAATATTTTTTTACATAGTTTCAAGTTGTTAAAAAACAATATTTTTATTAAAAAATTATATTTTTAAATATTTTTTATCCTTTTAATTTTTTAAGTTTTTTACTTTTTTGAATGACAACATGTAATTTTAATTTGATATTCAAAAACAGAATATTTTTCTGAGTATTTTAATACATACAAATTGAATTAAAGGGCAATTCGTTTATGAGTTATAAGTATTTAAAGTTTAGATGAGCGGAGTAGAGTGGTACGGGGTTACCCCTCGAAATGTTTGTCCACTACTCCGCTCAATATCAATAGATTATCGTGCTCAAATTATCATTCGATTAAATTTGGCAACATTGGAAAAAAAATAAAATACCTATTGAGCATTCTCAATCGTATTTTTATGAAAATTGTTATCCTATTATACTATACAGCTTTTACCTACTTATTTATATAATAATTAATTACTTACAGTCACGCATCATATTGAGTTCAATAATTTGTTTATTTTTTTCATCTAATAATTGTACATTTTTGTTTTGGTTTTGAATGCAATATTGTTTTATGACATTGGTTTTATTTTCTACATCATTAATTTTACTTCTGACGTGGTCAATTTGCATTTGTGGAGTTATAACATCACCAACCTAAAGTGAAACAATGTCGAACTTATGAATGTAGATCAATAAATCATGTTAAAAATATTACTAATATTTACTAATTATTGTTGACTTACTTCCTGTTTTTTTTTCAAAGATTCCAATTCTTTGAATTCCGATTCAATCATGTTTGATTTCATTTGCATATCTGTGTATAGTTTCTTCAGTTCAGAGTCCAAGGTAGAAATGTACAAATCTTGGTGGTTAAGATCTATAGTGAGTTCTTTTATTTGTTTCTCTAAATTATAAGTTGTAGTACGATGTTGTTTTAATTTTATTTGATCCACACAAACATCGTTCTCAATTTTAACTAACAGTGAATCCTAAACATAATATTAAACATATTTTGAATAAGCATTATTATTTTCAAGAAGAAACATAATATTATATTTTTATTATATTACATTCTCATTATTTTTTTTTTTAAGTTCTAAAATATTGTTATTCATTTTTTGACAATAACCGTCAGTAATTAATTTATTATTAAATTCCTCTAAAATTTGATCTTCATAGATTAATTGTTGATTTGATATTTTGTTTTGTAAACGCAATAATTTGTTTCGTTCATTTTGAACAGATTTTTGTTCCTATAATAAGATATATTTTATCTAATAACAATTTTGTAACCAAAATTGTATGTATTTGATACTTAGATATATACAACAACTAGATAGCCGCCTTTATACTACAGTTGTGACCAATGTTGAAATCGGCCACCATTTATAAAGCAGTCAATGTTTACATTTATTTTATACTAGCTGATCCCGTGCACTTCGTTGCCCGTTAAATGGATCAACTCAATACTACCTACTCAAACTTTGTTCAATTCATTATTCAATATTCGGTGTATGGTGTTCAAAATTTCTTATCTTTCCCGTTGCCCTGAATAAAAATTCTGAATCGCGGCAGTACATTATCAGGTAGGCAATCTACCTGCGGTAGATCGCGGACCCCGTGCTGTTTGTACGGAAGTGTATGATTTAACTCTAAAGTATCAAAGTTATACCAAGTTTATTTTGATGTAATACTGTGGATTAATATAATAAATTTGGTTGCTCGTAAAAAATCGCAACTCTTAAAAAAATTATGATTGTTGAACTCCTTTTGGGTGTAATTTTCTGCGGTAAGTGCAACTCTGCCACCCTGGTAAGCATTGTTCAATAATTCGATTGATGCAAGCTTGTACCTGATCTGCCCGAATAACCAATGGCAACCAATAAATAAATGCTAATTTCTAATGTAGACTGTAACCATGGCAAACTATAAATAAATAAAAATAAAATTTCCAATTTCTATCGTGAATCTCAATGTCCCTGTTTAAGCACCTATTTAAAATGCGAATTTTGGCAAATCCTTTCTTAGCGCACGTCTATATTATAATAGCTATCTGTATGCCAAATTTCAGCCAGATCCGTCCAATGGTTTGAGCTGTGCGTTGATAGCAGTCAATCAGCTTACTGTTTTTTATATACAGATATGGTTGCCATGGTAATATGGACCCACACACACACACACACACACACACACTGACATACATTCATTTTTATATATATAGATTGATATGAAATCTTGGTAACCTTAGTAACCATGGCAACCTTGGTAACCATGGTAACATGGACACACAGACACACACACTGACATACATTCATTTTTATATATATAGATTTATTTATATACATATATATTTATCTATACATATATATACTATGATAATCTTATTTCGTAAATATTGCCTGCTTTGTAAATGGCAGCCGACTTCGATGACAAGAAGGAGACGGCTATCTACTATCTAGTTGTTGTATATATCTATGATTTGATATTAAGAAAAACATACAAATATCACTTCATTTAAGTTTTGGTTTTGGATTTCTGTCATTTTTAATATATTAAAATACTTATCCCTCAAATTATTAAAGTTTTCTAAACATGTTTTAAACCCATTTTGTAAATTTATTTGATTTTCAGTAGATTTATTTAAAAAGTGGAGTAGTTCATCATTTTTGTTACATTCGACTTGTGAACTGCGCTTGTAACTGTAGTATTCTGTTAATAATATATGATATTTATTTTTCTCTTCTCTAAAAAATGGAAACAATGCACATATTATAATCTATACTTCATAATATTATAACGAAGAAAAATTGTTTGTTTGTTTATTCAGGGAAATCTCTAGAACGACTTAACCGATTTTAAAATTGTTTTCACTATCAGAAATATAAAGTATCCCAAGGATCTATACTATAGATTCTATAGGCTATAATTTATCCCAATAAGAAGCCCTTAATTTTAGATTCTAAGCGGAGAGAGGAAGCTATTGGTTGTACAATGGTGCTTATTTGTTTTATTTTTTTTTTATCCTGTAGGTACACAAAATGTCTACCAGAAGGAGTGATTCGATATCAACATATAGTACCTTATCTTTTAGAAAATTAGATCAAGATGGTACTTTAAAGGATTTTTTTTTGAACATCGACAAATAATATATTTTTATTTATTATATGGTTGTTATTGGTTACAAAAAATAAAATAGTAGGCTAGATGTAGTAGTTATTATGATTGAATATCATTTGAGATATTTTACACCTATATTTTATATTAAAGCCATAATAATTTGTATAGGTGATATAAGTTGTAGCCTGTAGGTGTACCTATGTTAAAAAAAGAAAATAACGTGATTTTTAAGTTTATGTATTAGGCTTAACACCTTTACAAAAATAAAACCAGTTCAATATTAAACTTAAAATCTTTTTTTTTAAGTTTTTAACATCACTACACCGGGTAAGTAACGGATTTAACACAAAGTTAGAATCATATAAGTCTTATATGATTCTAACTGATGTAATAGGTGGAATTTTTTAAGGGAAACGAAATGCATGAAGGTCAGCTAGTATTATATATATATATATCTAAGAATATTAGTCAAATAATTAATTAAATATTAAATCTTTGAAGTTAGTAGGTAGGTACTTATTTAATTTATACATATATTACCTATTATTTACAATATAATATATAGTTATTACTGTAATTCTTTCATTTTTTTCTGAGAAGATTTTTCACATTGTTGAATACTTATAATAACTTCATTCCATAAAAATGTGTACTCTGCGTTATCTTTATTAATAGCATCAAGACCTATTGAATTGTCCATAACTTTTTGTCTCAGTAGTTCGCTTTCTTCATACTTGGCCTTTCCTTGTTCACCTAATTGATTAATACGATCTTCCAATCGAAGATTTTCTTGAGTTAGAGACAATAATAACAGGTCCTAATCATTATAAGACAATTTATAATATAAATTTATAAATGTATATACAATAGTCAATATACATTGAATAACATAATATATTTATATATACATATATATTATTGTGTACACTACTAATACCTATACCCTTGACGTACAATTTTTCAATTCATAAAATGGGTACCTAAATCTATAACAAGATTTATAAATGTTAAACAATATTTTGAGCTAGATTGGTTAGTTTATCTTGTTTTAGATAAATTCTGATAAAAAATTTGATCATTGAGATGTAATCCTGGGTCGTTATTAATTTATTATACAAAACTATAAAAGTACTGGATACAATATTTATGTTGTTACTCTATTTATATCGGTCATAAATTCATAATTGTACGGTGATATAGGTTGTAGGTTAAAGTAGGTGTATATACCTAGATATTTTTATAGATTTGATATCAATATATCATTATACATTTTTCTGTAGTCTATATTATTTAATATTTTCATAATATATTATTCATTATTTAATATAATATGTATCATGCCTACACTATACAAAAAGTTAAGATGGAAACATTGTGGTTGTAATACAAATGTACAATAGGTAGGGTACCTACATAATACTATTGTAGAACCACAGATTAAATAAAATTAAAATTAAATAATCTGTGATAGAAATTCTAATAAATATTAATAAATGTAACTAAAAATTTCCCATTTAATGAATTCGTGAATTTTACATCTAGTGTGTTAAAGTTTGTTTATAAATTAGTCAATAAGTATTTTTTTTAAAGATTAAGTTAACATCACCTGTTTTTGCTGGTTGCTTAATAATTTTTTCTTATACTGTTTTGCATAATATTTCGTTTGACTGCACCTATTAAATGAAATTTCCTGTTCTTTTTCATGCTTGGTAAGTTCGTTAAGAAATTCACGACTGCATTCTATCTGACTTTTCAAAACTCTAACTAATCAGAATAAATACATTGTAAATATTAATTAATATTTTTTTTTTAAAGCGTACATTTTTTTTCTTTATCTTCAGTTTTTTCCAAAATATCTTTACGACGCTGTATTTGCTGTTCAATACTTTTTTCCAACTTTTCGTTTGCTGTTTCCAATTCTACTTTCATTCGGTGGAAGTCACCCAATAGGTTTTGCTGTGCTGCAACTCGACTGTTTACATTATTTATCAGACTAATAGTTGAAGACTTTTCTTTCTCTTTGGCTTTAACTACCATAGTCTAAAACATTTATTTGAATTAATTCAAAACCATTAAAGTGAATTTTTTAATTTATTATGATTAGGGTTCAGCACTAGTATTTAATAGTATAGAAAATTAAAATATTAAATTGTATTTTTTGTATAGCTATAGGTATGTTAAAAATATCATAATGCCGTGTGATAATGATAATATATATTAGGTACCTACCTATTATGAATCATTTAGGATTTTTATGTTTAGGAATAAAATTAAAAATTTGTTTTTGAAATTGGTTATGCTTATTTTCATGAAAATTTGAATACATGATTTATGGTCATTACTGTTTTTTACATAATTTAAAAGTGCCGAATTTTGTGAATGACTCACGAGTAAAACGTTTATATTATTCTTACAAGAGCTTGTATTTCTTTTTTAATGTTTTCCGCTTGTTTCAACAACTGTAATTTCAATATATTTTGAATTTTCGCCATCAGAGGATTGTCCGATGCAAGTATAATTTGTTGGTTTTTTAATGTATCATTCATCGATTGAGAGGTCGAGGTTCCACTGTTAACACTTTCAAACTGTTTAAGAGTAATATCACATTCAGGGCTATTTTTATATGTTTCTGTTTCTGTCCCTAAGACATGTAAAGAATAATATTTCAAATTTTGTTTCTGTTCTATTCAAACAGTTATTCACTATAATTAAAATCCTATAATGGTTATGACAGTATAATATAGCTCGTGTAGAATATAAACTATTTTAATTCTATTACCATTAATTATTCTAATCTCGTTAGGTATTTTTCGACATAGGATTATGAATTTCTACAGTTTAAAAATATTATGGATTACATTTCTTGTTTTCCGTAATATTTATTTAAATATAATAACATAATATACCACAGTCTATATATTATGGTACATTTTTTTTTTAGTCACCAATCAAATTAAAACTGCTATTAGTTTCCTGCTTATATGCAGATTTATTGGGATCTCCAACAGACATGACATTTGTGTTATCATTTTTAGTTTCACTGTGCATCTGTAATGTTTCTTCATCGCCAGTTAGCATTTCATTTCCTAGTTCAACCATAACTTCTATGTATTCTGACATTTCGCCTTTAAGCTAAATTATAAGCAATATGTACGAACATGTACCTAATACAATATAATATATTATTTTATATTGTTTTTTGATTTTTAAAACATTGTGTTTATTATACTATGGCAACTTACCTACTAGCTAATAGTTACACACATATCTTATATTCTTATGTAATTACAATTGATTATAAAGTTTGAAAGATAAAATATACCTAATTAGGTATGTAAAATAAAATGTTAGTTTGTTTAATACTTACTACATCAAATAAGTTCAAGGTTTCTTCTAGAGTACCGCAAGGTGGATTGGACATTTTTATCCCCACTAGGTACTATTTAACCTTTTTGTTAACTCAATCTTTAGCAATATCCTATCTATTAGTTTATTTATTTTTTCCGATGATGTGAAACTGTTATCCTGTATATCATCCAATATCTCTTAAGACTTAAATAGTTTATACCTACGTTCAATTCTCAACTATGGTTCGATCATTTGGAATTCTTTTCTTCGAATTGAAATTAAATTAGTTGAATGACTGCAGATTCGCTTCATTAGCTAAGCATCCCCCTGGCATCCTACTAAAAATTGAGCATCCCCAAAATTTTTATCAAGCAGTCATGGATGAGTTAAATCGAAGACAGGCGTCTAAGGGCCAATCCCAACTTTTTATTAAAATTAATTCGGTGTACGATTGATGCATCACGACTCCTTAAGCGTATAACCCTTCCACCCACCTATAGTACCTACCTAGATCCCCTAAAACCTTTTACATCCCAACTTTCAGTTCAAACTTTTTATCAAATGATCACTTTGTTAAAACAATGCATATTTTAAATAATAAATGATAATTATTTTGATATAATATGGCCTTAATTTTTTTTAATTTTACAAAAAAATTATCCAGAGTTAAATTAATAAAAGAAAAAAAAGGTGGGCAAGTGGCTGTACTACAGTAGGTTACAAGTGGTCAGTGGGTCACTGTTTAATGGAAGCCGGAAGGTATTAAATTTGAATTCAATACACAGATATATAAAAGATATATTTTTATATGTCTGTGGTATAGCATTGTTCTATGGTTCTATGGTATAGCCATGGTATGAGAATTACTGTTTTAAAGTCTGGCAACACTGCTTCAGGAGAACTTGTTGCCAGTAAGTTGGTACCCGTCGGCCGTCACCCGTGTAATGTTTTGTTTTTGTTAACAAATTACGATTTGTTATTTTATTATATTGTACACATCAGAATTTCAGAAATAGCCATAATCCTGTAGCCGTTGGCTACGTAACAATAATTTACAAGTACAAGTTTTACAAGTCACCGAAAGTTGAACAGTGTATATTATACGCATGAATAACTTATAATTATTCGAAGTTCACGATTGAAACCAGCACAACTTAGACTTACTATCATTTGACCCATTTACATTTAACAGGTAAGGCACTACCGAATCTGTACCTACGTCAATATTAATAGTGTAGACAGGGCCGGATTTGACATAGGGTTTTAAGGACACTTACGCCGGGCAGCAGATGTAGGTGACTACACTGAATTTGTTATCATTTGATGAATTTTAGAGTCTAAAATTTAGACTACTTTACAGGGAGAAAAATCATGAAAAGTAGCAAATTTATAAAAATGTATTTATATTTAACAATTTTAATTTAACTGATTTGTATTGTACTATTTTGTATTTACTGTACATTATACAAATTTGAAAGTATTAACTTTAATTAAACTGTAATTATAATTTATTATTAATGTAACAGTTTGAAGGTTTAATTAAAAAAATTAAATATATAAAATATGATATTAATATACTTATTTTTACTTTAAAATTATGAAGGTTTTCATAAAATTTTTATAATATTGCCATCTTAATTAACTTTGAAATTTGTGTTACATGAACAGCGTTATTTCAAACTTGAAAAAACATGTTTTAGGTAGGTAGATAGTTATAACATGCAAGTTTGCAAATTTTTATTTTTTTCCTTAACTACTAGATATTGGGTATTTAAATTTTTTTACTGCTAGGGGCCTCAAAAATATTTGCCCCGCATCTGAAAGTCTAAGTCCAGCCCTGCGTGTAGACACTTGAGGCAGTAGGCATGTCAATGACTAGTTATTAAATTACGTTTAACGCTACTTGTCAGTTGTTTCATGACCACTTGCTGCATTTATCTTATATTATGTCTATGGTCATAAATAGAGACCGGATTTATATGCACTTAAAACCTTAGAAATAAGATGTTTCTATGCTCTATAATTTCATCAAAATATTCTTTAATATGCAAAAATATTCTTTTATGAAAAAATATTCTTTTTCGTAAAAATGTATCAAATACTGAAAAAATAAATAAAAGTAATAGTTTATAAAATGTATAAGATAGTTAAATTTATCCTAATCGTTAAAAAAATATTCAAACATTCATATTCAACCTATAGGCTACAGGTAATATGATGATATACCAGTGTACCTATATTGTTTAATTGTATTTTAGATATATGAGTGTAACACATAGTTACATACCTAAACTTCAGATTTATGAACTCAAAAACCAATAATAATAACATGTTTTAAATAATAAAAACAAAAACGTATTGTATATTGTTGAATAACATAATAATATTATGTATTAAAACAATGTAAACTTAAATAATTCAGCCTTATGAATTCAAAAAATAAAATAATATTGCATAGAATAGTTAAATAAAAGAATAATATTATGTATTAAAACAATGTAAACTTAAATAATTCAGCCTTATGAATTCAAAAAATAAAATAATATTGCATAAAATAGTTAAATAAAAGAATAATATTATGTATTAAAACAACTTAAACTTAATTCAGCCTTATGAATTCAAAAAATAAAATAATTTTGCATAAAATAGTTAAATAAAAGAATAATATTATGTATTAAAACAACTTAAACTTAACATAGAATACTAGCCTATTGTATATTCTATACAATTCTATGCTACTACCATGGTCCGTCTATAAAAATAAGATAAAAGAATATATACCTAGAAAAAGATTTAGAATTGATTTTCTTATCAATTTTATGTTCTTTTCAATATTCCTTTCGTCAAGATAAATAATATGATAGGTACTATAAAAAAAAAAAATTTTATAAACTTAGATTTTTTATAAAATATTCAAATTAGACCCCAATATACCAATATATTCCTAAAACATGTTTTTTGCACAAAATATTCTTTAACCCTGAAATATTCTTTTTTATGCTCTAAAAACTTTTGTATATCAGTTTATAGGTAAATGAATCGTCCAGAAAGCTTATCAAATTGAAGCTGCATACTCTCAGTAAAAAGATGTAAAAACATAAAAATCCGGTCTCTAGTCATAAACAATACCTATTTGATAATTATTGTTATCAGTCGTTTGACTACAGCTTGAAATCTTGTGTTTGATAAAATGTTAATTTTTTCAGACTGTTACTCGTTAGTGCAGGTTTTACAGCAATCATGTGCTTGAAACGGGATAATGATGACAGTTGTGACAAGTTTTTGTATCCGTTTCCGATAATGGACACTATCGATTTGACGATAGATGAGTTAGGGGATGATGATGACTTCGTGGAAATACCACCACCTCGTGTCGACCAGTGGAATTATCCGTACAATTTGTTGCCATCTAGTGATGAAGAAGAGCCGGTAATAGTTCGATATATGTTACAACATAACACTGCATTTTGATATACACCGTCCAAAACTCGTGAAATACCCAGTAGGTACACGTCAAATTTTCACAATAGGGTTCATTTGGTTTTTGTTGCCGGCTTAATGTGTAATATCACTGAATAGGTATATATTTAATATTTATCTAGTTTATTTGACAAATTCTAATATTATTGGCACTTTGACTTATGGCATATTCTTTTTCCGCCATCATAATATCTAGATTTTAAAGGTTTAAAAAGAATACCTAAGTCTTTTTTACTTACACACTTGTAAATGAATCTGGTACAATATGTAATTGATAGTAGTTTTACTACACTTACTCCTAGTATTTTTCTACATCAAAATTTTAACCCCCTAGATTTAGACAATCTGTCGTCAATTACTGACTACATTTTACTGAACACTTAAAGCTCATCTGTAAACATAAGTAATTTAGAGTCTGAAATAACCGATTATATCTCTTGTTATGTAGTGGCGGATGTATGATTTTTTTGTTGTAGGTGCTATATTGAGAATAAAGCTCCTTTATAGGTACCTACTTATCATGAACAACATTGGGGTGAAACAAACTTTATTAAAAATTAATTTTTTGGTAGTAGGTAGGCTACATATTATGTGGTCTACAATTAATATACGTTTAGTTCTATGTGATAACTGATATCTAAGTACCTAATTTAATAATTTATACAAAATAAAATTCTATACACGCAACTGTGGGTGCTTCAAACTCCCAAGCAACCCCTCTCCATAAATCCGCCAATGTTGTTATGTGTACAACATATTTCAGTGGTAGTCAAGCTAGGAAGGTGATGAGGAGGATAGATCCTCCATGACCTTTTTTTCAATATTTATAATAAGGTATCAAATACGAACATGTTCAATGGGGCCCATTATCTTCTTGAAGAATAAATAAAAATAAAAAATAAAAATATGGTAGCTATAAATTGTGTTTTTAATGATCGAATAGTGTATGCTAAAATATCAACCGCATCCACCCTCCTTCCACTTGACAAAAACATTTGACTGCCACTGGTCACTCCGCCCTATAGATTGCAATGTTAACAGTTTTTATTATAAATTATTATTTTATTACTCATTAGTCATTAATATTGATTTTCACTTAATTTCAGGCGAGAGGTTTCATAACCCATATGGAGGACAGTCACGGAGATATTCATTTTACTCATACAAGTACCACTCATGAGTCATCAAATGAAATAAATCAAAATGCTAACACATCAAGTGCATCAGTAAATATTAACTTTGTAAGTATTTTTATTATTTTAAAAATATTCAATATGTGCTTGTAACACTTAAAGTAATTATGTATAATTATATAGAATATTTCGGAAACCAACAATACTGATCAATCTAGTGAAGATAGAGAATTTGAATTGAATATACCACAAATATTGTTATCAATGTCCAGAATATCACATAATTTGTATAATCAATCTTCGTCATCTCATGATTAATTAGTCTTATGTATGTATGCTATAATATTGTTTAATTTAATAAGTAAATTGTACATTTTCAAAAAAAATATACTTTAGTTCAATAAAATTATTAATTGTTTAAAGGAACATTTATAATTATATTATTTAAAATTAAACCCTTCAACAAGGTTCATATGATTTTAACAATTGTACAACGTTAATTAAATAAAATCCGATCAATGCTCCTGCTGTTGATCCTATTTGAGTAATGCAGCCGTAAAGAAATAGTCCTCTGTTACCTTTGTTTCGCAGTATAGCAGCTATTGACAATTTAACATAAGAGGCACATCCAAAGAATAAAACCCACATAAAAACCTAGAATATCATAAAACAACATCAGATTTTAGGTAGATAAATATTTTATTGTAATATTAAATTTTTAAAGGTAACATATAACTAGAAACCAGAATTATATGCAGTATATTATACAGGATGTAAATATAACAGGTCCTTACAATGGAATAACTATTGTTCTAATCAATATTTTTAAATTGTTTGTATATATATAATTTATTGTCACTTGCGCTACACAAATAAAATAAAAAAATTTTAATTTGATCAAAATTCAAAATAGCCAATTTGTGAATCTGATTATAAGAACAATTTTGATGGTAAAAACATTTATCTAAGTCAAGTAATTAATTTTTTAGAATTTTTTAAAATATCAATATTTTTTTGATTAAATTAATTTGGAATGTAATAACTTTTTTCAAAATATTATTTTTGGGAATTTGCTGACATGAGTATATTATTTCATAAATTATTTACTAATCATAAAATCTTAACAATTTTGGCAGTTAACAGTAAAACTATCGTCTTCATATTATATAATATATATATATATATATGTATATAAATTTTTTTTATTAAGTATATACCTATGTTTAAATACTTTAGAGTTCATATTAATATATTATATTACATATTATTACCCTGTAGTATATAATGGACCAGCAATTCTCAGCCTGTGGTGGTACTAGAAGGAAATCTCATTTTATAAAAAAAAATTATAATTAACCTTAAATTTCAGTGTGGTCTACACAATCTCTACAGTATTTATATACACTTTTGTGTCAGCATATATCTGCCAAAATATATTTTCCCATTTATTATATAGAAATAAATTAAACTTAGAAAATGGTTCTAAGACTCAAATTTACCAACATGGAGCCCGATATTAATGTCCTCGTTCATTCAAAAAAATACTAAGCAACAAGCGTCTCCTTAAAATATTAAACCATAATCATTATAATATAATACAGGGGTCTCCAACATTTTTTTACAAATTTGAGATACGCTTTGGCATCGAGGGCCAACATTTTTTGAAGAATAGAGCAGCGGTTGAGAAATTGAAGAATGGATACGATTTATTTAGAAAAATAATGAATGATAGCTTACAATATACTTTTAGATTCTGAGAGGAATGATGAATGTATTGATTTTACAATGATGTGTGTTTTTTTTTTTGTGTCTGTGTACACGATAAGTAGTCGAAATAATCATTTTCAACTTCAGTACCTTGTTCGATTGGAAAGTGAATATAGTTGGTGCATCGAGGAGGTCAAAATTTTCAAAATCGCCCAGAAAAACAAAAGAAAAATTAAGGAAAAACGGGAATTTTTACGCAAAATAGATTTTTCACAAAATTGAATTTGGTTTTTGGTGTAGTGTAACTTTAAAATAAATTACCGTAGATAGATGACATTTTCACTGGTTGTTTATATTTACATTTTCTATACACGATAACATTTTCAAAATATTTTGATTTATTTTGAACTGTTTAGGGACATTTTCAATTTTTTTTTAGTTGTAGAGTTAAGAATTCGTAAACATTTTTCTTTTTAAATCTAAGATTTTAAAATGTAGTATAAGATTCCTTATAAGATTATCTACCTTTATCAAAAAAAAAAATGTCTATAAGAAAGTCAAATTAAATTTTTATGAGCGTTTGAAATTCAAATTTTTACAACATTGGATATTCCTCGATTTCTCATGTAGCGATTTCGTTATTTTGTAATTCATAAACAAATAACTTTAGATACATGAAAATCTCACTGAATGTTTATATTAGCATTTCCTATACACCATACAATTTTGACACTTTTTGAGCTGTTTGCGGACATTTTCAGTTTTCAATTTTTTCAATTTTTTTTTCTATAAATATCAATATAGTTTTATCTGTTAGGCCAAAAAGTGTAAAAATTTAATACAAGGCTGATAATTGTTTTAAAAGTAAGTTTATTCTCAACTATTTCGTTCATGTATTAAGTAGTATTAAGAAAAGCATGTTTTTAAAAAAAAATTATTTAAAAATATTTTTTATTTTTGACAACTGGCTCATGTATTGTCACCGACCCTAGACCTCCATACAAAATTTGAGCCACCTAGGTCATGTAGAAGTGGCTTAAATTGAACTCGCAAGATTTGATGACAACAGAAATGAAACATTGCGAGTTAAAGAAAAGCATGTAAAAATATCATTCTACTTTTGAGCATTAAATGCCTATTTTAATAATTATGTAGTTCCTAATAAAAGACTCCTTACCTACATTTAGAATAACGTTTACATAATATTTTTATGAACAAAAAAAGAAACTTTTCTTTTCTAGCGGTTAGAGTAGATCAAGTGGTACGTGAACGTTTCCAAAATGGTGGTACGCTGGTTAGGTTAGTATCGACGTATAACTACGATTTGTTTTTTTTTTACTTACTATTAAGACTATTCCAGTGGTTGAATTGCGCAATGGAGGCGACGGACTCATAAAGGCGGTCATCAGCATGTACACTGTGGACACTAAGCAAACGCTGCACAGCATGTAAATTACGGTTTTGGACGTTCGATTCGTATAATAGGCGACGAAACAAGCTACGGGGTTGGCAATGTTTGACAGGTTCGTCGCGAAATGATACGCCATGTATCCGTATGGCAGACATGAGAACGATTGGATGCTGGGCAACAGTCCGTTGGCGAAGAAAACGATCACGCCTTGCACGGCTAGCAGCGAAACGTTTAGATGACGACTGCGGTTGTCGGTGCCGCCGACGCCGATCGTCTGGTGGCCGTCGTCGTCCGGCGGCGTCCTGATCTTTTCTCTCTTGCAGGTCGGCAAGTACTCCAAGCACAGGTACGACACCGTGCTCGCACACATTATTGATCCGATCCCGACGAAAAACGGGCCGCTCGAAAAGAGTGCGTCAGTCGTCGACTTCACCTCGGACCTCTGCCCGTCCGGCCCCACCACCGACCGGCAAGTGGTGGTGCCTATGCCCTGGACGATAGCGACCGCGCTGGGCACAAAACCGCTGATGCCCTCGCCGACCATGTACGTGACCAGGTATATGTCCGGATACCGGGCCAGCGATGGTATGAACAGAACGGAACTAGTGCACCCGACCAGCGCCATGGTGAACGTAAGCGCACAGAGCACGACGCTGTGCGTTTGTCCGAAAACTGAGCCCGTCACGTCATAGAACCCGGCCATCAGGAACACAGACGCCACGCCGGAAGTGAGCACGGCGATTGTCAGTGGCCTGTCGTACCGGTTGCCGTATCTCCGGCGCCAGGCACCATACACCAGCGGGCCCACGTTTCCGGTTTGTATGGCAATCGACAAGTACGACGGCAAGTTCCATCCCTCGGGCGCGGTCTGCACGAGCAATGGCAGCTGCGTGTACAGACTGTTGACCAGTATCCAAGCACCCACTCCGAACATGCAAGTCAACAGGTCCAGAAACCTGTAGATAGGAAAACAAAAACAATCATAATACGTACATAACAAATTTAAGTATGTTAACAATACAATTTTTGTTAACATACTCAAACTTTATATTATAAATAGGCGTACTATATAGGTACCTCCTATTATTGTTATGTGTATTTGTTTAATGGCCGGATGTGTTACCGGCCTTTTTAAGATGTTTGATAATGGCTATTTTAAAAAAATGTTCGAACTGTTTATTACTATAAAAATAATTACAATCTCAAAACAAAACTTACCATTTTCTCTCGACGATAGAATTAGTTTCCAAGCTATACACTTTCATTCGTTTATGTTGTAAGTACGTATTTTCATCGACTCTTTAAACAAAATAATATACAGAATCAGTCATAATAGTAATTTATTGTAAAGAGGAAAATTTACAATAAATAATAAAAATAAAACAAATAGTTAATCTTAACTAATATACCTTCATAAGCTTTTTTTAATTAGAAATTTGATATTTTAAATTTATTATTTTTCGTAACATGATTTATTGCACTAGCACTAGGTATCATATAATATAATATACATTATGCAAGCATATAAAAGTTTTCAGCAGATACCGCGAATTTTGCGGCTTTATGACCAAACTTTTGTTGAGGGTTCACAGGGGCCAGATTATGATTACATACAATATACAAACTGCCAGGTAGCAATTTGTTTCTCAACATTTTTTTTTTGTTCATGTTGATTGTAAAATACTACCTACCTCCTAATTTTACATAATTTACATTATTAATATTATAGGTAATTATAATTAATATCGAATAATTTATAATTAAATTATAACCAAATACATTACCTACCTATATTCTGTACCTATTTACAGTTTAATGAATAATTTCGTATATAGAATATTAATTTTGCATTGCAGAGTACACACTCATTGCTATTAAAAATCGTATTATTCGTTTTTTACTACCATAAAATATATGACATTTTACAGAGTTCGATAAGAATAGTTGCCGACTCTGAGATTGCAAAACGTATTAGATTTCCAATTGAATAATAACATTTTTTTATGTATAGATATTCTTAATAGCTATTCCGAAAGATTCAAGAAGTCTTATACTTCGTTGGATATAGTACCTATACGCAAGGTCCCCGCAAGGGGGGGCTGTTGACTGTTGGACCTGAAGTTCAGAGTCCCGGTGAAGTTAATTTTTAATATCTTATAGGGCCCGCCAATAAATTTAGTACTGGGGCCCAAAGTTTGATGTTGGGGGCTGCCTACTCGGCTATATCTGCCAGACCAGGACTTGGGAGCACGCCATCAATATTATTAAATGCATGTACTCGGTATATAATTAACTTGGCGGCACGGTACTGCGCCCTCCCAGAACTACAAATAAATAACAATAAACTATTCTATAATAATCTTAATATATTATATATGTATGTATAATATTTGTACTTCAGTAGAACAGTGGCGGATATATCCTAGTTCTGAGGGGGGGGGGGGGGGTGAATTTCAAATTTCGTTCAACCCCTCCCATAATTTTATATTGTAATAATGTATATAGTGGTGGTGAAAATCCCAAAGGGTGTCCAAAAATTAAAAATGTGATAATACTTGTATACCTATGTCATACAGCAGTGCTTCTCAAACTGGCGGCCGAGGCTATATTATTTTTATTGGGGAGTCATGAAATATTTATTTTATATAAATTATTTTCTTTAAACATTTCAAAAAAACCAAAGTTATTTTCGACTTAAAATTAAGTGGGGTAGGTTAATTAGTTAATAAATAGCCGACAATATCATTAATCATAGTTAATAATTTCTTTGTTTGAAATAGTACACGTCATTTTAGTACATAATTAAGAAAAAATAATTAATGATTTTGATTAAGGAGGCCTTGAAAATTTTATTTTACATCACATTTAGGGGGAAGGGGCCGTGACAAAAAAGTTTGAGAAGCACTGTCATAGAGTACTGACCATCCTGTATTCCTGTGTGATATTCCGGTTACGAAAAAAATAGTTTATTATAACAACAGTTAGTTGACCGCGAAAAGTAGGTAGTAAGATTTTTCCCATACCAATGATATAAAACAATATATAACCTAACCTGTTCCTGTTAAAGCTAAATACAGTATAATATGTAGGGAATAGGGATTATATAAAAACAAAAAAAAGTTTTAATTCAATATTTTCATGATATGAAATATGAATTAATACAGCTACAGCATGTTATATTATATTATAGAGACAACTATAAATGTTTATAAGAAAAAATACACATACCAACTGTCTATTTGTTGTATACTCTAAGTAGTACCTAATGTATATAGTCCATACTATCACGTAACAGTTCAGTTAATACCTTGATATGGCTAAATAATAAAATTAAGGTATTTTTATCTTCAAAGTAGGCACCTACTTTGTATAAAGATTAGATACACAATGAGAAATATAAAATGTTTATACAATTATTATAACTGGTATCTAAGATTTTTTTAACGATTGGCGATTTGAACGTTTTAACTATTTAATAGAAAATAATTTAAATTCCAAGCTTAAGATTAACATTAATTATTTAAAATAATTAATAATAGACAATAATATGTTTTAGTACCTATACGACATACATATTTCCATTTATTATACCTGACATTATTACCTAGTACCTGTATAAATAATATCTCACTATCTCTCTTTAGGATTTAGGAAATAATATCAAGTTTCAATGTTAATTAAAATATGAAATTATCTGGTATGGCGTCATGGCGATTGGCGATATAGTTATCGGTTTAATTCAACTCACAGTTATTGCAGGTAGTTCAGGCGTGTCTCTTGTATACCTACTATAATAATTATTACTACTATACATAGGCGCAATTTGGGGTAAATTTATGGGGGTGCTAGATTTATGTGGACCAAAGTAACCCGTGGGGGGCTATTTTTTGTCAGCAACATTTCTGCTTTCAATGATGTTAAATCAATATTCACAACATCCTGAAATTATATTATCCTCACATGATTATTTTATTTACAAAATTAACCTACATTACATTAATCACAACAATATATTATATACATGGTTGTTAGGTACCTATTTATAATTATTATGAATTCAATTAACTACCTACGGATACAAGCTAGTATAGAGATATCTATCTTTATTATCTATGTGTGTGTGTAATCATGTATAATATTTGATATTTTATTTTATATAATATATTATACCTAGGTATTATTATACAATATATAGGTAACATAATTTATATTATTATTTATTATTATTATTATTATTATTATTATTATTATTATTATTATTATTATTATTATTATAATATAAGTCAAATCTTAGAAATTAATTTATCCTGTTGTCTATGACATAATACGTGTATAATCAATAACAATTAAATGATGCTGTTGAAAATTTGGGGGTGCTAATATGAATTTTGGGGGTGCTAAGCACCCCCAAGTACCCCCCAAATTGCGCCTATGCTACTATACACTCAAAACTGAAATACAAATTAAAACCGTCTCAAAGCTAACTTAACTAAATATAATTTATTTTACTCGCGTTGATCGAGTGGTTCACAATTTAATGTTTTCGCATGTCCCTATGTAAAAATATATTTAAGTATAGACTGTTAGTAGTTGGCAGTTGCAATGGTACGTATAACAGCGATATTGTAAGATTGTAAGTACATAATTTATTATATTTGCTCAATCAATCCCTTCTATTAAATCGCAAAAAAAAACAATTTAATTATATATATATATAACTATTATATAACGTCTATATTGAACAAGCTCACTTAATAACGATATTGAAACTACGTGTGAATGAGAAAAATACACATGCAGTCAAACGAATAACCGAACCGATTAATTAATTTGCTGAATAGTTTGATTATGATATTACTCGATTTGAATTCACTTGACAACATTAACTGATGAAAAAAAAAACGCCAACGAGTGACATGCGATTTTATTTAAAACTAGTACTAACTTTTCTACGTGATTAAACCGGCCGATGCATAAGTAGGTACAATCAATTCGAACCGTGGTTACTATGCTTACTAAACGGGTGCGCGCGGGTAGAAACTAGAAGACTAGGACCTGTAGACACATAATAATAATGCATCCTAACGTGCCCCCACCGTGCGATCGTTTTTCATTATATCGAAATCTAACATAATATAATATAGATATTATAGGCAGGTAGGATTACAATTTTTACACAAAAAAATAGGTAGTTGTTCAAGCGGTATCGTCGTGCACATTCCTCAGTTATTCGCACCTTAACTGAAGATTGATAAATGTAAATTTTAATAATACATAACTATCTTATGTAGGTACAGATAGATGTTACAATGGTTCCATGTTCTGCAGCAGTACAGATTCGTTAAGGAGATCCGACGTATAGCACATTATTACTTAGTACCTTCCTAGTGAAAGTTCAAATTATTGTCTCAATGAAAAATTAGTGTACTTAGGTAATACTTTTTGAGTTTTAAGTGCTGCCCGATGGGTGCAAATTCAATTATTAATTTTATGTGTTTTTTTTTTATGACGGGTGCTTAGGAGTTGCAGTAAACGGACGTGTAATTAGAGCTCATAAGTTCATGCATATCAATCTTGCTATATAAGGCGTATTAAATGGTAAGTATAACAGCGAAATTCGTTTCTCGGGGACAGGATTCAATATACGAAATCGAATTTTGTTCCCCCTGAACAATTTCAATTTTAACCTAAAATTACTGTTAATAGTATTGATGGAAGTATCCTACCAATTTTTTTTTATGTCTATCACTCCAAAGTCAAAACCAATATTTTTCTGAGAACTTTAAAAATACTGTCTATATTTTATAGAATAAAATATAAAAAAAAAACGTAGACCGCTGTTAAATATTTAAAAATAACGTTCGACCCTCAAGTTCAATCAAAACAAATAAACAAAAAATTGGTTTATTCAAACAAGTGTGAAATCATAAATATTAAGATGAGATAAGGTTTTGATGATAAATTAAAAAAAAAATATTTGATATAATTTTTTTTCATATCTATGAGTTTTTATAGCATAACTATGTTGTACACTACATAATAATATTATCTAAGTGCATGTTTGAATATTTTTAGGCGTATAGTGACATAGGTTTGGCAAGCGTATTTTTTACATACATTTTAAATTTTGAATACAATCCGTCAATGTTATCGACCGGTTGGTAGTACTTGTATACAACACATAATGCTGTTTCTCTTCGTTTGCTTATTAGTTATAACCTACTGTACTACTGTAGTATGTGTTTAATGCACGTACCACCGTTGATTAATATAAATTAATTGATTATATAACATAATATTATTGTATACCTATTTAAAAAAACTATAAAATCAATATAGGTACAGCCGCCTGCGTGTCGATTATGTAATATTCAGTTGCCTATAATATAGCGGGTAGCGTATGTATAGAAACAATTGACACTAATTACTATAAATTACTGATATAACATTTTACAATTATATCTATTATCTATTAATTATTATTGTTGAATGCGGAGAATGACTATTATACGGAACTCACTCATTAAAAAAAACAATATTATGTACACTGTGACTGTGCAGCGAATGATAAGATTGATAACGCGTACTTTCTCTGATGATAATTGATAACATTATATTTTTTACTTGCCAGTGCCCCCTCCCAATGAGGTTATCTACATATGTATACATATATAATATACTGATTGCAGCTATATAGTGTACACGTGTAAGCAATAAGTTGTAGACCACATAATATCAGGTTATTGTGACCGGCAATCGTCATGGTCTTAAATAACACAGTTTTTTTTTTAAAAGGACCTCGAATCGCATAGTTTTAACGTCTTATACATATAGGTACTACCTACTGGCTACTCTTGTCGGTTTTTTTTTCCAATGCCGCGATATTATATATATATATATTGTTATGTACCTACCTAAATACTGGCTATAGCCAATACATGACAAATGCATACTCGTTATAAGTATGTATTCTTTAAAGTATTTAAATATATTTCTTAAAAAAAACCTTAATATAGTAATACAGTAAAATTATAACTATATCTAATAAAAAACACGGTATACTTTATGCTCAATCCATATGTAGGGAGGGGATTTGTCAGCTGTTGATTCCTCGTTTCTTCTCAATTTAATAAATACCTATTTAAAGTATGCACAGAAAAAAAACTTACTTAGACAATAATTTCGTTCAGTGTGTATATAGAACAGTAAATATTTTAAATATTTCATTAACTAATTTTTATCTGTATTTGGTGTATTCACTATTCAAATGTTTATTGAAAAATATATTTAGGTAATATTTTAACATTGAAGTATTTAAATACCTATTTGAAATGTATTTCAAAAGTATAGTATGACGATTGACGATGATGATATATATATATATATATATGTATCTGATCATCGGTCTATAATTATTACTCACGAAGGGCATATATATATATATATATATCATTGCATAAGTCATAAGGCATTGGAAACGTAAATTTTATTTTGAAGTGTCCGTTTGAGTGACGACTTATACTCTTAACATGTATAGGTATAGTGTATACCATAGCACGTATACTGATCCCAAAAATTAAATACAGATAGGTACTCAGAAACGCGTTTGAGATTTTAATCATTATACCTATGCACGCCATGTACCAACAATTGTACATATTATTATTATAATATAATATTAGCTAGGTGAAGGTAGGTATCTATGTATAACATATAATTATTATCGTAACGTTCATTTCCGCGTATACTCACTCCATGATATAGTAATAATATTATGTCGTTTGGCCGGCGGGTCAGCTGAAGGATTCTGCTGTATTGGTAAACCTATATTTATAGCTGGCACATTATACTATTATAGTATACAAATATAAAATGTATATATGTGCCCTCGCGTGTGTGTAGTAACCGGTACGGTAAAAAATTATAATTAAATATAATAACAGTATGAAAAACAAAATACGAAATTTCGTCCAGCACTACGACTGCTGCAAGTTGCAGTACCTATACAATATTAGAATATAATATTATATTATATAGGTACCGCGGACAAGCGTATCCGCGTATAATATTATGTACTATTAGATGATAATATTATTATAAATACCGACGGACCGCGCGTAATGATCGAAATAAAAATGATTCGTACGATTGACCGATCACTGTTACACTGCGGCGATGCACGACTGGTGCACGTAGTATAGGTACACCGCCGCGAACGTCTTTTATTATAATAATATATATATATGTGACCGTCCACCGCAACAACGACGACGACCGTCGCGTAAAAATCTCATTTTCAAAACTGTCCGGTGCGCGTGATAAGGGAGACAAAACAACTTTACGGGCAACGCGTATCGTTGCACACACGTGTGTGTGTGTGTGTATAGCAGTACCTATAATAGGTATTAGGTATTTAGGTATAGGGTTCTGTGTCTTGGTGATAACATTTCCTCAATTCCTCGTCCATACTGATCCAACAAAACTTGACGATTTTACATTTTACGGTAGGTACCAGGTACCTATATAATAATTTCTAGCTCCTAATAATTTTTTATGATGGTGTGAAAAGAATATTTTTATTATAAAAAAATTATCCAAAAATCAACAAAACGTGCAATTTTTGCGTCTCTCGGCGCCGAGCCGTGAAAACTTTTCAAAAATTAAATCCTCACAAGACATTATATACAGCCTGCAGTTGTGTATATTATAACATTATGTATTTATGTGTATGCGGTCTGCGAGCGATATATTGGCGAACGCTCTGTAGGTGCCAACACACGTGACACGTATGACGTACTTACCTAAAAATATATGATATGCGATCGACGCGAGTACGCGACTACTACATACAGTACGCGTCATTATAATATACTGATATGAACACGGCCGCAACGCGATTGGTACCATCGAACATACCCATTACCATATGTATAGGGAATAATATATTAATATTATGTACTATGTAGTACACCTTGACGATTACACTATAATATTATAATTATATTACAGTTTAATAATATTATCACGAAAACAAGTAAAACAATGAAAATATATTTTTGCATGGTGTTCAGCCGTACAGTCTACTGCGCGGATTGTGATAGGTATTTATATTTTTTATCGTTGTGATCACTGAATTGCCCAAAATTGTTAGTCCGACTGAATAAGCCCTCCCCCGCCCCATCAATATGTGTGCAAATGGTTAAAGAGAATAGGTCTGTTTTCGTATATATATATCAGCCCTTGACCCATTGCCCTCTTATACAGTTATACCACTGTGCAGGAATCGCATTCCGATTCGGAACATGTTAATAATACATACAAACATACAGGGTGATTCACTAAACATGCTCACTCCCTTTTTATCTTCTTCAATAACGAAGTTATTCAAAATCTGATATTTGGCTCTTTAAAATACCTACTTGGCTACTTGAAGACTATATTTCTAATTCTTGAGATTGTTTGTACTAGGTACATGAAGAGTGTATTGAGGAGATACAAACTTCTGTTTTTCAAATGAGAACTCCGTTTTCTACTGTAAATTATTTGGCAGATAATTTTTCTGAACATTTTCAAGTATAGAAATCAAGAATTGAACGAATACTTATTGAGATTCATAACTTTGCAGGGTACGAACTACGAAGGATAGTACAGGTTTGGAAGAATTTAAAATATTTTGGGGGCTATGGTAATTTAAAAATTACTGTAGTAATTAATATCAACATTTATAATTTTTGTAAAAATGATCCAAGGCTCAAGTACCTATATAATAATAAATACTAGATTCAATTATATGACATAAATTTGAAAATTTTATAAAACCCTATTTAAGGAGGATCCATGCATTTGTGGTCTCCGTTCTACGACATAGCAAATAAAAAAAAAAAATAAAATAATATAGTTTCAATAGTGTGCTGTTAGTTTAGATATTACAGTGAATTGTCCCTATTATCAAACTTTTGTCTTTTTAGTTTTAGGTAAGAACATTATCTGTGCTTAAACGTATTTTCATGCGAAAAATTAGCATTTTTAATTTTTGATATTTCGCATACCACCTATATTTTGCTTAAAAATTAAATTATCAAAAAATCACAGACGCTTAAGCACAGATAATGTTCTTACCTAAATGTTTGATGATAATTAATAGGTCAATTCACTCAACTAACAGCACACTATTGAAACTAGTGACGGAAATTTGTTATGTCGTACGTTTGCAAGACGGAGTCACGGAGACAACAAACGCATGGGGAGCATCGTCTTAAGGACTATTATTATTAGTATAAACATTTCAATAGCTGAAAAACAACTAGTTCGAATTAGTAATTACTAATTACATGTATATTAAAACTAGGTATATACTAACTGTGATGCTGATACAGTGATACCCCTCTACCAGTTTGCTCCTACTACCTCATCTACCACATTCTATACCCTCCATCAACAGTATATAATACTAATTCGAACTACAAATTAGTAATTATAGAAAATTTGACACAAAACTGCCTCTGAAAAACAAAAACTCCGTGGCCCAATCTCTTTTCTGTGATTAGGTACCTATATATATTTTTTATAAATATAGCAGCGCGTGTCCACTTATAGTTATATATAGTAGGTACTAAATATTATTAGGTATACAGGCTGATTCACCATATGCAGCATTCTCGTGCCCTTTTTCTTTAATAATGCAGTTATCTAAACCTTTAAAAACTTGTAGAAAACAAAGTATTTGATTGAACAAAAAATGTTTAACGCACTATAACAATATTATAATCCTCTATACATTTTCTATGAACATTTGATTATTTTGCTATTATTATACAGATGAAACAGTATTATCTATTATTTATTAATTTGCGTTAAAATTTGAGAAACTGATGAAATTTCTACAGGATGAGCCTAAATTGTGTAACTATTAAGTTAGAGCCATCAAAGTTTCTTTCTGTACGTACCTACCCAAGTAAAAATTTGTTTTCTCAATTGTTTTAAATTATATATTGAACCTTCCAGTGGCTACCACCTATGTGGTTAGTCGCTTAGGCATATTATGTCATATGCTACTATATGTGAGCTTAGTCCAAAAACTATGTTGTTTTTATTTTGAGAATGATTTAACATATATTATTATATCATTTAATAATCCTTTACATATTTATTATAGTTTTAACTTATAACTTATAACTAAAGTTTGAACTTATATTATTATTTATTGTTACATCAATATTATATATATTATGTTGTATAATACTTATGTAACTATTATACGCATGCGCACGAGGTGAACGAACAATTCTATAATCTATATACCTAAATTTCTTAATACTTTAAAGCACTTGATGTCTTGATTTATTTACAAATATCAGTATCATTTTTAATTACCTAGTATGTACCTCGTCATTCAACAGATGTATTAAAATTTAGATCACTGTAGTCTGCTATGGTTTAACTAAATCATTCTATAAATGACAAATAACTAAGAAGTGAGTAGAGACGGTCTAAATTTTTTGGTAACCACGATGTCATTTGGTTACCAACAATTTTATTAAAAGATTTTTTAAATTTAAAACATCTACTTTTGACCCATCAAAGTATAAACTAAAGTTAAAGTGTTTCTTCAGATACATAAACGAAAAATTAAAATTAAATACACATTGTAAAATTAATACATTTATTGCTCCTCTCAGAATCTAAAATATAAAACATATATTTTTTTACATAACTTATCACTGAAAAAAAATTGAGGAAGTCATCCCTAGCTACAACCCTATAGTACTCTACTATAAAATCATTCTGCACACTCCACGAAAAAATCTGCGCAATCTAACCTATAATGTAGACTAACTATACCTTACCATTTATTTTTAATTTTTAAATATTAATAGCCATGTATTTTCAACGTACCTATGACTTATGTATTTATAAATTCATATTTCAATAATTTTACATATAAACGTGTTTTTGTGCAAATTTCGCAGATTATACCGCGTCGTGTTTACCAGTACCTAGTTTTACCTATAAGTATTATCTGCTACGGCCTAGGAATTTGCATAGTTCCCCTGTCCCCATTCTAATTTCTAACATATTTCAATTAATAATTATAATACTCGTAAAATATTATACAAACCGAAACTTAAGACTTAAATATCTACTAGTTACCAATATATTATAAATTGCAATATTAATACCTACACTTTTTATAAAATACATTTAAAGTCCTCACACCTATATGGCTATATAATTATGTTAATCAATATAGGACTTGGATTGATATAAACTAAAAAATCAAGAAAAATGTTCTTACAAATGTGTGAATTTGTCGTCAAGTCTACTTGAGATCGACTTTCCTATATTTTTATTTTTTTTTGGTTTTAACTTCTGAAAAAGTTTAAACATTCCATTTCCTTTTTTTTGTACGCATTTTGTTTAGGATTTAGGTAGGGAGATAAAATAAAAAATGTGGGAAAGTCCATCTGAAGTAGACATGACGACAAATTTAAATCTGTTTTTAGAATTCTTATCGCTTCATGTATCAATCGGTACTTTGGAATGAAAATACGTCTACCTTCCCATATGTTCCACTTGTGTTAATAGACAAAGACAGAAAATCATCGCTTCCAATATCCTTAAAGCTTCAACATCTATGGTCATTAGTCTGAACGTTATTTTTTAGATAATTATAACTGTGCGTGAGGGTACAGTTGGTTAGAAGTGTTAGAACAGGTGTATATGTCACCAAGATTTGTCACTAAAACCTGAGTGGCCG